ACAATTGTTCTTTCTATTTAATTGCTATAATCTATTTACATCAATAACATATCATCACCACTTATAAACATACCTTCTCTTTGGACCTAACCTCCTTTGTTATTCTCATGGTTGATGCTTGCATCAGATAAATTGTTCTGTTACAGCTGAAATACAAATATGAATATTACATTAATACAATCCTCTTAACTTAATTTGTACAAATAAAATATATATGCATGTATTTGCAGTTAGATCACCAAGAGAACTGCATGAATGAACAATACTGACAAATTGCATTGCACTACTTGCAAATCAAACAAATACATGTATGTAAATCATTTTAAGTGTGCAGAATATGCTGAATCATGTATTGGTATAATTTGCAGTTCAAAAAAATTGTTTGCATAAACATACAGCCAAGTGTGTTTTACAGTTTATTTCTATTTTTTAAAAATCTCATTTAATGGTAAATTTCTCTGCATATAAACTCACTGCAATGCAGCATGATGTGATTAACCTTTGTGCATTTTTTGACCCATTCTGTATTACCGAGGTATCTGCTGAAAGAGAAAAAAAACAGAATGTGAATAAATCATTTGAACAAAGTTAAAAAAGTAACGGATGCATGATTTTCAATTATCAAAAGCCCTCCCTCTCTCTATCTCTCTGTCTGACAAATTATCCACAGGATTTTTTTACATAGATACACATGTATAACAGATATTGGTGCAACTGAGCAAAATTAAAATATCCTTTCTTTGTTTCTTCCAATCAGGCATAATAACTAAATATATGTAATAATGTCACATATAATATGTTATAAAATTATCCTTACAATGCTCACAATAGGCAAATCTTGAACTTTCATGTCATCACTGTCTTCAGAATATCCTGCAAGAAACGTACATTCCAAATAATAATTTGATTAGATTTATTTATTTTTATACATGTATTTGGTATTTTTTAGAATGAAATTCTCATTTATGATTTATGTGCATTACAGCACCATGCACATGGAAGTTCATTTTCAAATTCAACCAACATGTCATTCTTAAAAAATCAAAAAAGATAAATCTGTAAAGCCCATTTATTTTTTTTTAATGAAATAAAATTATTTTCTTGTGTGTGTAATTTGTGTGGGATCATCAGTGGTTCGGATGGACATATCATTAAAAAAAACATACAAAAAAAAGCACAGATTGTTGCAAAAGCCAACTTACTGAATTATAATAAGTTACAAATTTACAATGAAGGGCTCGAAATAATTAATGGCCTACTGGGCTGGGGCCAATTAATGTATTTTTAATTTAGGCTAGTACATTGTGAGGGCATGTGTCCATTGGGTCATTGTTTATTATGTATACATGTAACAAAATTCATTTATGGTTGGGATAGTAACTAAACTTGTCAGGCAAAGTTCTGTCTTTTCTTGTTTTGTTAAGTTAAACCACTAGTAAGTATCACAATATAAACAAAAAATATATCACTATTATTTTCTTTATGGTTTTGGGCCAGTCTTTTTAAAATCTACTGGCCCTGTGGGACAGTTGAAGTACTCAGAGCTGACCAGGAAAAAATTTAAGGTGATAGCCCTACAGTGACCAGTGAAAGAAAATAATTATTTTTAGCCCTGAAATGATGTCACATTTTTTATGCTACATAAATAACATAATATAGATTTTCTAAATTTAATATTTTTTTTTATTTCTTCATGACTTTATATTATTAATTGTGTTTTTTTTTCATACCGTTTTATGGAGAAGGCTGTTCAACATGTACTTAAACCTGAAATAGACAAAGCAAAAAATTAGTTACTTTTAATATTAACATATAACAATCAATTTACCATATGTAAATTAATTATATATTCTCTCAAACAAAAATGCAAAACATCACTGTAAATTGTGTTTACATTGACAGAGGTCTTAAATAAATTATTTCAATATTACAGATTGATGCCTGCAATGTTACTGTATATTATTTATACTATTTCATTTGTTAGTTTGGGATGGACAATTTTTTTATAAGAAAAAAAAATCCACTAACTTAAAGTACATTGTATTCATAGTTGAAAGTAGTAAACATGCAAGAAATGTTCCAGGATATCATAAACTGCATATGTAAAGTTTGGGTATATTAAATTAATATTCATGTCTGTAAAGTCTGATATGTGTGAGAACTGCATGGTTGCGTCTGTTCTCCCTAGCTAGCTTAATTAATCTCACCTTTTGCTTGACCCATTGTATTATATGTATATATGTTTTATATGTTTATGTACCTCATGTAACCATTTACATGGTTTTTGAGTGAATAAATTGAATTGAATTGAATTGCATCATCTGATCATAAATTCTGTGATAAATAAGAGAAGTAGCAAACATTTTCTTATCATTAGGTTCTATTGAAAACAGCATAATTGGTATAAATAACTGACAATATTAAAAGTGCAAAATGTAAACAAATGTAAACACCTTTACATATGTAGAGGAAATTCGGCAGAGCTTGTGTGCATGTACTATGATATGGATAGAATTAAATTTTAGTCTCTTGGTGTTAAAAAAGACACAAGGTTCTCACAGATCACTGGGCAATCTCTGAATACACATAGCTTGTGTAGGAACGGACTATAGCACACCTACATTTTCTCTTCATTTCAAAACATGCTTTTACAGCATTTTACAAACTTGCCCTTAAATATTTAGCCATTTTGTGCTACAGGTAATCGAAAAAATAAATCGACTTCCACTTACGAGTGCTTTTGTTTCCTAAACCAGTGTATGTGTGTTCATCTTTACCGACACAACTACTCCCTTGCACGTGGAAAAATGTTTACAAAATCGAGAGGTGCAGTTTTGACACTTTCATGTACAATAGCACGTGACAGAACGAGAAACTTCATACATACTTTCACTTTTCATGTAAAGAAACGTTTGTTTTTCAACTTTATGCAATTTAAAAACCTTGCAAATCGAAAAAATATAAAGTTTTACCTCTTTTTTCAAGTTGAATATTTCTCTCGATTTTCACCTCTCGCGTGTTGGTCTCATCTAATTCTCGAGAGTTCTCGCAATGAAAGCTGTTCGGATGTTTACGGATTTTGTTAATATTTTATGACGTTTATCTTCGAAAAGTTCCGATTTATGCAAATAAGGTTAGGAGGTGTGACATGGCTTAAAAAAAACAAGAAAAAAATTTCTTGTGTTACTGTTTTATACAATTTTATCAATTCTTATCATTTGACACTGTCTTTATACTCACTTACTCATGTACAACATCACCACCAATACCCGATCTCTGCCCCCCCCCCTTCCCCCTTATTATTTCTTTCTTTTAGTAATTGAAAGTTCTTAATCGTGTCATTTTTAACACACTGCAGATGGGTTAAAAACAACTCTGGCAAGAACTATACGTAAACTTGTATTTATATGCGAGTTAGTACAAACGCCGTTTAAACAGTTAAACATGTAGACCTATGTATTAAAAAAGGCAGCTCTAACATGTGGAAATATTTCTATGAAGACTCCACCAAATGTAGATATATTGAATGAATTAGAAATCGATATATTTTTTTTTGTAGTAAAATTTAATACATAAAATACCGAAAAAAGGTAGGTATTTTTCCCGTCAATTTGTTAAAATATTTATCAAAGATCAGTATTTATATTCGTATATTTCCATTTTTATTTGTTTTCTCTGTGATAACTCTTTGAAAGTTAGGAGAGTTGATTTCTTGATCATTCCAACGGAATGCAAATTTCGCCAAGCAAAAAGGTCAGGAGCTAAGAAGGCCTAATATGCATGTAATTTCCGTGCGGCTGTCCTTTTGTGTCTGACTCTAAGGAGGCCTAATATGCATGTAATTCTCGTGCGGCTGTCTTTGTGATTGGCGTCAGTGGGCGGGGACTATCGAAATTGACATGTGAGGCTTCGTGTAATTTAAATCTATTAGTCCACATTTTTAAAATCTAAATTTACACTTTTATTTCACAATGAAATGGAAATATAAGGAATCACTGTCTAGTTATCAAACTGAATTGACTGAACTACGAAATCCGATAACTCACCTGAAAACATAGACACATTTATATTTTCAAAAATAGTTTAAATTAATTAGATAAAATATGGTAGAAATACATTAGTCTAATGCTCCGTTTACATCAGTGGGCTCTTGTGACGTCATAAAACCACAAAATCAAGAACGATAAGCGAGTAAGAAAAGTAACAAGTGGAAAAGTTTTCATCTTCATTTTTCAGTAAAACAAAGGCCAAAAAATATTACTACTCGTAATTTAACATTCTTTCATATATAGCTTGAGGTTTAAAAAGTGAAATCCTAGTGTTAAGAATCGTTTCCTATGACCTTTAAATACAAGACAAACATACTCCACTAGTCTAAGAAGTTTTAAGCAATTTAGAATTTTGTATGAACTGCATTCTATCTGGCCCCCACCTGTTCCACACATTTGTATGTTTATCGCTCATTTATCCCTGCAAGGTTTGACTCATGCTACCACTTCATCCTATATATCAGGAATAAGTTTCAAATGCAAAATATTGGGATTCTGTGACAACACACACAACAAATTTTGATTAGAAAATTATTGGAAGGAATCAAAAGGTCAAACCATTCAAAAGATTGTAGACTTCCTATCACAAAACACATTCTTGAGAAACTCATAAAAACAACATCTTTAGTTTGTTCGTCAAACTTTGAGGCCATCTTTTTTTCAACAGCATTTTCAGTAGCTTATCATGCTTTTCTTAGAGTCGGTGAATTTACTTTTAGTTGTTCAAATCAAGCAAATCCAATTATTTCTTGCAAACATATAAAGTTTAGAAAAAATGAAGATTCTGGGGAAAGTTTCATAGAACTTCGAGTTCCTTTCTCAAAAACTGACCAACTTGGGAAAGGGACATCGGTATTTTTGCAACAAACAAAGAATTCTATCTGTCCAGTTGAGTGGCTGTAAAGGTACATTGCTACAAGGCCAAAATTTGACGGCCAGTTATTTATACATATGGATGGTAGTCCTCTCACAAGGTTTCAGTTCTGTTCGTTATTAAATAAGACTCTTGAAGTAGCCGGCCTTCCAAACTCAAGATACAAATCTCACTCTTTCCGTATTGGGGCAGCGTCAGATAGTTTCTCTTACGGTCATTCGGAAACAGAAATAAAAAAGCAAGGTAGATGGAGTTCGAATGCCTTCAAAAGGTATATTAGGATTAAGTGATGTCCTCAATTGATTTTCATATTATTATATAGGAAGTGAAAAGGTTATCTGGATTGTTGGTTCTTCAATTATTAAGGTCAAGATCTAGTAAATAAAAGGAGCCTACAGATTTCTCAAATTTGAGAAATAAATTCCTTTAATGAAGCTTTATAAGTATAGCTTGGTCAAATAAGGTATTTCGGGGCATAATTTGTAGGTAAACAAGACGAAAAATCATATCTTAAACTTTCATTTTTAATGAAAAATTAAGAAAATCAGTCATGAATATGGGAGTTTTTTTCCATATCAGACAAATTAAATGCATCCAGATTGCCTACAGTCTCTCAGAAAACGGTATTCTGTATGTTCTTAGCCTCTTCTTTAAAATAATATTAAATTGAATATAGGTTTCGGGATTACTTTTCACATGATTTCAAATTGAATTCCAGAAAAGTACTTTATTTTCTACATGATTCTTTTACAGCTGTAAAGTACGGGAAAAAGAAAGTTTAATTTGATTATGACGTCATAATGGATCTAGCATCAAAAAGGCAGTCTAAAATCATTTACTAGATCTTGACCTTAAGTGGGCGTTCTACTATGCAAGAAAATCCTTAGATGGTGTGGATTTAGGTTTAAGACGAAGAAACTACAGAATTTTTTGGCAGGGAAAGGGAGGTATGAAATGGTTTGACCTTATTAAAAAAATAAAGCTTTTGTTAAGGTATGAATCTCCACCAGAGATTTTAATTATTCATTGTGGAGGTAATGATATAGGTAAAATTCCATTATTGCAACTACGGTCCATTATGTGTTCAACACTCGAGGAACTTAAACAACTACTCCCTAAAACTACACTTGGTTGGTCAAATATGTTGCCAAGAGATTCATGGCGTTTTAGTTCAAACTCGAAAGCGCAAAATCTTGCTACTGTCAGACTCAATAATTTTATGAATCATTTAGTCACTGTCAATGGTGGGTTCTTTATCAAATACCCAGAGATTACTTGGGATTCGAAAGAAATGTTTAGTAGTGACGGAGTTCATCTGTCATACTTCGGTAATTGTTTCTTGCTATTCAACTTACAAAGGACTCTACAAGAATGTGTTTTACTATAAAATGGTAAATATGTAGATTGATCTTCAAGATGTGGCCACACCTACACATACTTTGCGTCTCTCATTCCACCTAACTTTGTTGGCGGTGGTTGTCCTTTTCATCGGACAACCATTTGGCGGTTATTCGAGACGCCTTCTATGATACAAGTATTTTTTCACAACTTCTGCTGAGTATCTACTCACCCAGTACCTGTATGAATGTTGTCACTATTCACATTTTAAGGAATTTATAAGGATAAGGATTATAAGGTTTATAAGGATAAGGATATATAAGTTTCATAAGGATAAGGATTCTAAGGTTTATAAGGATAAGGATTATAAAGTTTATAAGGATTAATGTTATATACGATTAAATAAAGTATATATTGTATTATGTAGGTCGTGGCCACAAACGCCAACTCAAAAATAAATAATTATAAGAAGTTATGCTTGTCTTCATCGTCTTTAATAATAAGATTTATTTCCTTTACGAAATAAATCCAATTATTACAGCGATGGTTACTGTTGTGCATGAGATCCGCGCCTCAGATTTGTGCGTAATGCCCTGCTGTAGATGACGTTAACGCTGTTTATGTTTGAAGTCACAATATTTGTTACAGCTGGATTGAGAAGTGGGTGTTGTTTGTCTCGTAGCTTAAAAATCCCACCCTCCCAATCCCCTTCATTATAATATTAAGTAATGTAGTTATCAAATTAATCTATCTTGCCAATGCAATTTTCTGCAGTAGTTTTCCTAAATATTTTCAGGCAACAATGATCTGTGTCATGTGAAATGTGAGAGACATCGGTTTAGACAGTCATACTTGAGTGATAGAAGCTCCATTCGTCACTACCTACACATAAAGAAACTTGAGGGAGAGTCACTGCGGTTATTCGAGACGCCTTCTATGATACAAGTATTTTTTCACAACTTCTGCTGAGTATCTGCTCACCCAGTACCAGTATGAATGTTGTCACTATTCACATTTTAAGGAATTTATAAGGATAAGGATTATAAGGTCTATAAGGATAAGGATATATAAGGTTTATAAGGATAAGGATTATAAGGTTTATAAGGATAAGGATTCTAAGGTTTATAAGGATAAGGATTATAAAGTTTATAAGGATTAATGTTATATACGATTAAATAAAGTATATACTGTATTATGTAGGTCGTGGCCACAAACGCCAACTCAAAAATAAATAATTATAAGAAGTTATGCTTGTCTTCATCGTCTTTAATAATGATCAAGGGATGCTAAATAGATAAAAAGGGATTTTTATTAGCATATTGATTGTTTTTGCACTCTTCACAACTATTGAAAACTAAGCTGTGTATGTCAATGTACTTGCTATTTGTTTTATTGGCATTATGGATTGAACAGTAACTTCTCTCTCCTCAGGGAATGGAAAAGGCTGTTTCCCCTCATCTTCATCCTACAAAAGACTAAATTTATTTATGAACAAGCATTCTGAGAGTATTGCATTAGCAATACTAGTCCTCTACCGGCAAGTGTAATCTGGTTCCCGTTAAGAATTGAAAATGCCATAATTCCGTCAAAAATTTATGAAGCGGGACGAAATGCAAACTCATTCTGTAACTAATCAAGGTAAAGCCACATACCAAAAATCAGCTCAATATCTACAAGCGTTTAGAAGAAAATTGCGGAAAACCCTTAAAAATTGAAAAGGCCGTAATTCCGTCAAAAATCAATGAAGCGGAACGAAATGCAAACTTGTTCTGTAACTCATCAAGATACACTCACATACCAAAAATCAGCTCAATATCTGCAAGCGTTTAGGAAAAAAGTGCGGAAAACCAAGTGGGACAGACTGACAGACAGACAGAGGGACAGACAGACAGACAGACGGACAGACAGACAGACGGACAGACGGATGGACAGACTCAGAGGAAACCTATAGTCCCCTCCGGTTTCACCGAATAGTGTTTAAACTATTGAAAAGAAGTCATACAATGATCTGGGATACATACATGTAAAAGAAAACCCGTTGTTTTAAGTGTGTGACGAGACTCACCAGTGGGCTTCAATGGTAGCTTGCTGAGCAGATCTCTTCTCAATGGAAGCCGTTCCACGGGTTCCAAGCGAGCATTTGCAATTGTTATAACGAAACAGCTCGGGATATGGGTGGTCTTGTGTGGGTTTCCCTTCCACAAAATGCTTAGAGCACATTCTATAATGACGCGAGGGATCAAACTCACAACGTCTTAACAGCTCAAGCCATTTCCGACGAAGTTTCTGGTGTTTTGACGTTGGAAATTGAAAAAAAAAATCCCTCATCAGCCATAAAGCCGTATCTCCCTTTTTTCCTCGAATCCTACGAAAACCTTTCGGCAACACAGTAATAACGAGGCATTTTGAAGCAGAAGAATTGTTACTAATGTCAACAAATTCACCGGAAGTGATGCGCCCGCATTTGTATAAAAATCACGTGACTTAAGTACAAAATAAATGTTAGAATCCTGCCGGAATACTGTGACTCGAAAATGGACTATTCAGTCGAGTTTGGGAAGGAATGTGCAAAGCATGTGTATGAAAAGCATGGCTAAATTAGGACTGGTAAATATTTAGCAAAAGTTGTAAAAGAAATGTCACATGTAACTGTTTATTACATTATATAAAGCATTCATGTACTATTTCATTTATGGCAGGGTACTCATGTTGACAACATTTCAAACGGAGTAAATCCTTGTTTGCAGAAATAACTGACCCTGAGATACAAACATCAGTATCCATCAAGTCAAGGTTGTCTCAAACACCTACTTTGAACTTTGAATCATAGGCAATAAAAAGTCACAGGAAATTATGGTTTAATAGGTATTTCATATACGGTAATGAAGCTGTAGAAATGTTTAAAAAGAAAACCCCTTTTCAGTACATTTATGTACATGTTAGTGTGTACTCATAACAAAAAAAAGTGCATGAAAGTGATATAAAGATGTGGATTAGAGAACCAGCTATTTTTTTTTCCATGTTTTAAGTAGAGATTCACATACTATATAGGCAGACTACAGCATCAGTGCAAGACAGAGGGGAAAACTGCTGGAGACCATCTTACATGGAGATGCTGAAGAAAGAAGGAAGTACGTTATGTACCAAATCGGCCCTGTCCCCAATTCTGACGAAGATTTTTTTGAAGCATGTCTAAGACGTCCTCTATTTAATTCAGTTTAATTCTTGTAATTATATCAAATCAGTTTTCCGACAAAACTATCAGAATACAGATAGTTTATTTGGAAAATAACATTATGACGTTATGACGTCAACCTAGCGACGCTACGCAAATACGAGGTTTGTTGGAAAGTTCGTTATATTACTCTCAAGAAATAGTAAAAAAAAGAAAAAAAAAAAAAAAAAAAAAAAAAAAAAAAAAAAAGAACACATTTTTTTCATACATGTATAAAAAATGTTTATTTTGTTGATCTGTGAAGTTTCATTCCATTCAATGAACAGAAATTAATTTACTTAATTTTAAAATAAACATGTTTGGTAACCCAGAAGCTACATTATGACTTCAAAAACGTTGTGGCATGGTGTTTTTTTTTTTTTTTAAATCCCCCTTTACATTTCACACAGTTTGGTCCAATAGCCAATTATTAAAAACGTTTCTCTATCAAATTTAATTTATTTTGCTAACAATCGTACCAGTAGCATAATTTAATTTTGTTTGTCCATGTTTTATAATTTTTTTTATTTTACCGCGTAACTGTGCATTACAAGATCAGCAACTGTGAAGAACCTTTTTATTTCCATGACTTTACCAACTCAAAGTTTCTGTTCAGATTTTTACAGATAATCCATTTTCTCACAGACCGCCCTTGTCTGATACAGAGCTTTAATTATTCGAATACAGCTTCTATCTTTTATACAAATGTGCACAAATCGCTTTTGACATTTGCTCCCTACAATATTTTCAGAGTTTATTATGAAGATTTCCAGAGTACAACACAAAATTTTGTTATACCTTTAAAAATTGGTTACAACACAAAATTTTGTAATACCTTTAAAAATTGTTGTACTCAGCGGTCATAAAAGAAAAATCGATATTTGGCCGCGTAGTAAGATATTTAGAACTGCCGATGAGAAATTGGACCGCTTACGTCATAATTGTGGGCGGGATCAGCTAAATCTCATTTGCATTTTGGTGTTCGACAAACATTTTGGTTTTTGGGTCCGACAATATGCGTACATATTTTTTTTAAATGAAAGATTAATTTATATAATTTTAAAACGAGAGAGAGGGAGAGAGATGCGTAACGCATATTTAATTGTACGTTTATTTTAAGTATTCGATTATTCTACTTCAAGCAAGAGTTTCATTTTTAAAAGCTAGACTATTTTTTATGCGAATTCCTTGATTTGTTTTTAAGATTGCATTAAAATTTGTAACACTGTTTTATAGAATGACAGATTCCCTACAAAATTTTATGAGAAAGTATTAAAGATATTTTCCAAAGTATTTGAATTTTTAATTAATAGATAACATTGAAAGGGCAAATTCCCAAGCCCATCCTTTCCAACAAGTCGAGGCGTCATTCACGAATTTATCTAAACAAAATGTGTTTAAAACGTTTCTATCGTCATCTGAAAAAGTTTCAAAAAAAAAAAATGAAATAGTAATGTCATTCGATTAATAATTTTATATGTCACCGGATGGTCCTTCTCAAATGCACGAATCAAGTCCACCCCCCCCCCCCTTTCCCCTTTACAAGCTAGTACATTGTAGAGATGTAGTACTTCTTTTGGATAGTTGGCATAGGCAACTTTCTATCGCATTTTCTTTAGCAACTTATTGAGGCTTTTTCCACCAATTTAGTATAGCTTATAAAAAAAATAAATAAATAATAATAATAATAAAAAAAAAAATAATAAACATGTATAAACATTTACTTTCTTTGAAGAACACTTTTACAATCTTTTTTTTAAAAATACGTACATATAATAATAGATAAATACTGTTGCTTGAAGTTTCGCTCAATATGAGAGCCTATCTTTAAGTAA